CTGATAAAAATGGTAGGTCAGCGCTGCAAACAAAAAGTTTCACTCTGTCCATTAGGCCATGTCCTCAGAAAATGTCTGATATCTGACCTTTCCCCACCGCCCTTGACCTGTGACTCCAATTTTGCACTGGTGATGGGTTTCCTGCCCATCACACTATAACCGAATATAAGAGCATAGGTCGAGCCGTTCGAATTTGTGCCCGCAATTCCGTATTTCCTCTTATACCTTAGTTAAGGGGAAATATTCCTCCCTCCGTTTACACATCTTGACCTTTGACCTCTGACTCCAAAATTTGTCATCCGAGTCGCTCCGTTCACGATCCCCCCCGGCGTTTGAATATTGTGACCGCGTACGCTCGAGCGGTTAAGATTTGTGCCCAACTGTTGACAGACGGACGCAGGGACGGATGCACGCACGCTCTTGCGATTCTACAAGCTGCATCCGACTTCCGTCAGATGCGCTAAAATGAACATTGTTTGTTCTTGACCATCGATATGTTTACAATAAATAAAGAACAGTAGGCACCACCATGGTTTCTCTAGTGCGGTGCCATGACGGCGCCACCAAACTATAGACGGCGCATACCACGTTCAATTACAAAATGGCTGCCCAATAGGAATTGCACTGAGTGACTATGCTCGTTGATTTATATCAGCGAAAAAATACACTCGGAGCGGCGAGCGATTCGCTCCGGTCAGCTTTCAAACGCCTCTGGTAACAACAATTACGAGAGCGAAAATTTTGGAAGATACAGACAAAAATCGCTCCCGTGCCGCCGCGCAGCGGTTCGAACCGGAAGCCCGAGCCACCAAGTGTCTTGCTCGGGCCACATCTCTACGAAACTCCCGGTCCTCCTGACCGGCACTTTTTCCCCTCATATTACGATGAAATACTACTAGCCACACGAACGCCACACGAACAAAAACACGCGATAGTCTAAGAAATTGATTGCGGGCACGTAGACAGTAGTGCAGCCAGTGTTTTTATGACCGCATAACAATAAGTTTTTATATCGCAGGGGTTATCGTGGGGAGTGAGGGCACGACCAGTGACACCTGACACGCACGAATCAAAGCTGTTAACTGACCTTCGTCACTTTTCTTAATGTAGAAAGTGGACTATTTTTAGTTCAGTTAGATATCTAGAAGCAATGGAAACAGTTGTATATATATACTTATAAAGATTCTAGGCCACTTGTAACTTTGCGGATGTGCGGCCAGCATTGATCTATGCATGGGCGGTACGTGACGGGGGAGAGAAAAGCGAAAGTAAAACCTTGCACCAGAAGCTCCCGGCATTCTAGAGATTCCAGTACAAGTTTTTTTAACATACTCAAAGTAAACTAAAAACTCTCTCTGAAGTTGAACTTGCCCTCAGTCGATGTAAAAGAAAGTTAAAAAATGAAAAGAAATGAAGATAAAAAAAAAGAACTTGAAAATAACCATTACCATCAATTACCATGATTATAATTCTTGATTTCTCTGTCGTTGTCATGTTACCTGACTATGTGTACTGTGTAGTGCCATGCTGTCTGTGTGAATGAATTGAATATTAAAGAATGGATTGGTTTCTTAGTCGAAGTGAAATTAGATTTTAAAAAATCTGATCGAATGTAAATTGTAATTTGTTGACGATTTCTAATAACACCATCATAGTCTGATACTGGTGCTGAGTGCTGAATGCTGATGAATGATATTAGAGTCAGTGCATCAAAATTATGAAAATTTTTACAAAAAATTATGCTATGAAACAAGTAGCTCTGGCCAAGCCTAAAATAGCTCCCGTAAAAAAAATTTTATATCTATCGCGTGCGTGCGTGCGTGCGTGCATGCGTGCGTGCGGGCGTGCGGGCGTGCGTGCGTGTGTGTGCTACCTACTGGGTGGGTTACGAAAATGACGCGTTCCTGAAAAGTTATTATTACCTCCGCCAAGGGGTTGGCAGGAGGTTATGTTTTCACCGGCGTGTGTTTGTTGGTTTGTGCGTGTACAGCCTAACTGAAAAAGTTATGGACGGATTGTCATAAAATTTTCAGGATAGGTTAGGTCAGAAATTGCCTAACTTAGAATTGATGAGATTTTGGTGGTGATCCGGATCCAATTAATTAATTAATTAATTAATAAATAAAAATTTCAGGATAGGTCAGAAATGGGGTAACTTAGAATTGATTACATTTTGGTGGTGATCCGGATCCAATTAATTAATAAAAAAATTTACAGTGAGAGAATTGAGCTGCCTTGGCGGAGGTCTGTGCTCTACGAGTGCTCTAGTTTAGTATGTTATGGTTATTTTTACGCGAAATTTTGTGTCGTAAACCCCGTTTTCGTTTTGACTATTGTAATATTTTTTTGGCGTCAATTACAAAATTTTTGCGTCAAAAGAAGCAAAAGACGCACAATTCTGAATGAAAATCAATATTGTAAAACACATGATATACGGAACATCTAATAAAAAAATCTTGTAGATGAACGTGTGTCACGTTACTACTACGTCGATCAGACATGGTCGCGATTCTTTTCTAATGTTGCTGTGTGATCGTGCCTACCTTTACTCCTACTCTTACGTCTGCCGGCACGCTGTGATACGGATTCGGGATGCCGATGTGTGACGCGGTTACAAGTAAACGCAAGGTAATTGCGTATGCGCGAACTTTTCCATGCACACAAACACGTTTTATACGAGTTGTAATGCCATCTATAGAATATAACATCTTTTATCTAGAACGCGATCATTTCCGCATGAAAAATATCAACAACTATGTCTACGCCATGTCTACGATACAGAAAAGGAAATTGAAGAAGAAGAAGAAAAAAAACCACCAAACATAGCGAGATAAGCATAGACACATAGTACAATTATAATCTTGCATAATGTTACAGAAAATATAGCGTTTATTTTCATTTCGATATATTTATGCATATATAGTTGACAGTAGTCACGGTATTATACGTACATGCCACTTGACACACGCATGCGTACGCACGCGCACTCATACACGCATACTCATACGCACACGCGCACGCACAGTTATGCGTACGCCCTCATACACATTGCTCACGCCCTCACCCACGCGGACGACACGGCATACCACACCCCAACGATCTGTATAATTATTATTATTATTATTATTATTATTATTATTATTATTATTGTGTTCACCTTGTTTTCCTGGTAAATACAATGTTATACCGCAGCCACCACAGCACAAAGCCAACTCAAAAACAAACCAACACCAGCTTTAAAATGTCATGTTATCACCTATACTGACGAAATGAACGTGGTAATTTCAATTAATAACCATTGGCATGTAAATAATACACGATTTAATTGTTAAATATGGGCAATTGTTGCACTCCTTATTTTTTATTATTTTTTATTTTGTCTATGTAACCACTGGTTATCAATGTCAGTGTTTTCGCACTAGCAACATATGCTCACGAAAAGGCAGCTATAGTTAAGGTCGCTAATACTACACACCTTTGGCTTGGTATTAATGTAACTGGTAGGCTACATTCACACAGTAGAGGTGGCGAACAACAGTAGAGGGCGTCCATAGGCGGCAGGCCCGAATAAACACCGAACAGCAATTAATTAAAAATACTCACGCTGTTACTTCGCTTACACAACATACACTTTATTCATGTTAAATAACTACAGATTCATGCTCTATGCTCCGCTCGAAACTTTTGCCAGCTCTATGATGCGAATTTCTGCAAAGTTGTCTGAACACATCTCAAACACAAAAATGACCAACCGGTCGCTGTGGCTACGCCACCTGACGGAATGTTACAATTACACAACAAGACCAATTTTACTTCTAATGCTTTCTAAACGTCCACGAGGCATCTAACTTGCGTGCATAATGCAAATTATTGCACTCTAGTGCCGAATTTCGGCGAAAACAAATGCCAAAAAGGCCTTTTCTAGAGACGAAATAGTGCAACATTGGTGAACAATTTGCGGAAGCTTACTGTTGTATGCCTCCGAGAGTAAGCGAGGACGCTATCACATATACCGCGTAAACGATACATTGTAACTATAACATGTTAATTAGCTATGGTTAATCGATTTAAATTATTTGCAATTCAGTTCAATATGCGTGCCTTATGAGACTTGTTCGGACCGATTCCTCCATGTGGTTTAAGACTTTGGTAGCAAATAGATTTCGAATTTATTTAGTATTATATTTTATTGAAACGCTCCAAGTGCCTGTGCCTGTGGTGTGGAAGAAGATATATATTTTGGTCTTTGCTTAGTAATAATCAAATGAAAAATCATGACGTTGTTTACAAACATTGAAACAATAATAATTACTAATACTAATAGTAATACATGAATCAATGAAATCGGCGAACATTAGCAGACGCGGGTAGGCTTAAAAACCAATGGACATGGTTTTGAGACGAAATATCATTGAATAACTCCATTTTTACTCATTACTTACCGTACGGCGCATAAGTAACACTACATATCTTTACAACAGGTCAACAGGTAATCGCATATCAAATCGAAGCACAGAGAGCACGCAAGGCCGCGGGGCGATTACAGCGCCACCGGGTGGTTATAATTTCACATACTATCGCTGCCGTTTATAAAGCGTCGGACGTCGACGATAGTGTATTTTTTGCACGTAGATTTCTTTTTTTTTAATTTGCGTGACATAACTAAATGTTTGACAATGTCATTCCTATTTTAGTTCTTTTCATATGAATTCTGGTATTTTCGTAGATTGAAGCATGAGCTAGCTAGGAATTATCAGGGGTTATATAATCATGAGTGAATAATAGAGATCCTCTATTATTCACTCCTGATATAATATAATGTGGATATGGATAGGCGGCTCTAGGCTATGAATGCTAAGGTTATAAGGTCACATTTCGAATTTAGCCTTCGACAATACAGTAGTAAATTAAAGAAACACGGCATGTATTTACGCGAAGATATGCAAAAAATTGAGAGAGAAGCTAGGGGAAGGGAGAGGGAAAGTACAACTGTCAAATAGAGAGAGAGACACATGGCAGAAGAGAGAAAGGTATAAAGTGGAGGATCGATGGCTGGTATTACAAGATTTTACATGAGAGAAAGCGCGCAAGAGAGACAATCTTAGAATAGATGGATGGATGGCTGCCTGGCTGGATGGATGGATAGATGGATGGATGGATGGATGGATAAATGGATGGATGGATAGATGGATGGATGGATGGATGGATAGTGGATGGATGGATGGAGGATTGGATGGATGGATGGATTGGATGGAATGTGATGATGGAATTGGATGGATGGCTGAGACTGGGATGGGGGC